ACGACTACTAATACTACGACTACTACTACTATACTACTACTAACTACTACTACTACTACGACTACGACCTACGACTACGACTGCTACTTATACTACGACTAAGACTACTACTACTACCACACTACTACCGCTACCAAAACTACTATTACTACTACTACTACTATACTACTAACTACTACTACGACTACGACGACGACTACGACTACGACTGCGACAACAACAACTACTACTACTACTACCACTACTACTACTACTACTAGTACTAGTACTAGTAGTACGACTCCGACTACGACTACTATCACTACACCTACTACTACTATTACTACTACTACTACGACTACGACTACGACTGCTACTACTACTACGACTACTACTACTACTACTACTACTACTACTACTACTACTACTACTACTACTACTACCTACTACTACTACAACTCTACTACTACGACTACTACTACTACTACTACTACTACTACTACTACTATTACTACTACTACTACTACTACTACTACCATGTGTGTAACGGTTAGTGATGTTTAAGCATCAGTGTCATAAGGCGTGAGGAATTGTCCAGCGAAGCGCCTGGCCCGCCCCACCGTGCGGCCTCGAGGTGCGACGTGGGCACGGAGGTGGTCGCACGTATCTTTTGACCCTTGGGCAAGGGAGGGGGAGACGTGGGGGGGGGGGGGGGGCGAAACGGGAGAAGGACGGGGAGGATGACGGGCAGCAGCAACCAACGCCTCCACCTCCTCCTTCTCCTCATCCTCCTCTTCTTCCTCCTCCTCCTCCCCCTCGCCCCTCCCTTCTCTCTTTCCGCGCGCCTTCCCCCGCCCTCTTTCCTGGTCTTCCCCCCTTCGTGCCCTCCCTCCTATCACCTCCTCGCTCCTCCCTGTATACTCCGTGCCTGGTCTCTCTCCCCTCGCCCTGTCCCGCTCTCCGGGAGCCGTTCTGCCCCCCCCCCCCCCGGGTTCCCTCCCTGCCCTCGTATGCGAGCCCTGCCCCTCACCCCCCACGACTTCTGAGGGGCAGGGTGGGGTTTATTTCGCTCGGGAGGTCCCGAACGAAGTGAACCCCACCCTCCCCCTCAGAAATCGTAGGTGGGGCCGAAGAGTCGTGCCGAGTCGTCGATGCATCGGCGATGCATCGCCGAGGCGGCTCGCTGTGGGGCCCAATTTTTTCCACGCCGACGTCGCGGAGGTATCGCCGACGTCGCTGTGGGGCCCAATTTTCCACGCCGACGTCGCGGAGGTATCGCCGACGTCGCCATGCGGTGCAATCCTCCGACCCCACCTACTCGGACCCCATTTCTAGGAAGCATCTCTTGGTGCAGTGTTCGATTCGGTTCCTCCGATTGGATTCGGTTCGATCTCGATGACTTCCGGTTCCGATTCGAGTCGGCTTCGGATTCCGATTCGGGCTCCGATTTCTCATACCGGAGTCTTGTTAGCCTGCTTTTCATCGCGGATTCGACTTCTCCCGACTATTACCGCCAATCCGATCCCTTTCGATCGCCGACTCAACTCATCGGTTCTAGTTTTGGCCCGTCTTGCCTGAGGGAAACGGGGCCTTCTTGGACCCTGGGGTTTCCCCCGAGATCTGCTCGTCATCGGGAGCCGTGCGTCGATGGTGCCCATGGGGAAGGCCCCCGGGCGCCGGAAGAAACGGGGAAGCATCGTCCCATAGGACGCTCTCGGGGAGGGTCCGAAGGGCTCTGGAACGGCCGCGGCGCCCGCTGCGTCCTTTTACGCCGCCTGAGTTCAGAGGTCCCCGATCTTCAGAGGGGGAAGAAGTAGCCATACCTCTACCCTCCCCTCGTTTTCCCCTTGTTGGGCCTCCTGGGCCTCCGTCGTCGCCACCGCAGGATTCGCCTCGAAATCCTGGTCGGAACGCACATCAGGAGAGGTCCGGGGAGTAGCGGTATCGATACCTTTTGATCTCCCCAGATCTATCCGCCTTGGTCCCGGTTTTGTCTTGACGGGATGGGGTTCGCGGTGTCGGCAGTCCCCGGCCCACGCGAGGAGGCGGGCCTGACTCACCTGAAGATGCGGGTGTGGCACCAGATCCCGATGAACGGCGTGAGCAAGGGAGATCCCAGAGCCAGGATCGAGCCCTCGCGCTTCCACAGGGTTGAAGGGGCCCCAGGATACACAAATAAATACACACAATTGAAAGGATTCCCAATATCTCCACATATTTTCTGGGTTTCTGTCTTCCCCCCACTTCCCATATTTTCTTTTATTTTCTTAGGACTCGAGGATTAATTGTGTCTGTGTGTTTTTTCCTCTCCCGAAGGGTGGTGAGCCGAGGAGGAGCATGTACCGCTGCCGCGGTCCCTCCCTCGTCGCCACGGCCAGGTTCGCATCGTCGAGGTCTTGGTTGGAGAGCACCTCGGGAGAGGCCCCGGGTGAGCAGCTCCGATGCAGGGAGTTCTCCATAGCCGCTGCCCTGGAGGGCGATCTTGGGGGACCTCGGCAGGCGGTGTATACGGATATGTTTCCGCCCCATGGAGCCCCAATCTATCCATGTCCACCCCCTTGGTCCCAGGACCTCGGCTCCCTGAGCGGTATACACACATTGCCCGCAGCAGCGGTATGGGCACCTTTTTGTTACCTCTATGGAGGCGGCGGAATGACAGGAGGATGAGGAGAAGGGGGAGGGGGGAGGCGGAGGAGGAGGAGGAGGAGGAGGAGGAGGAGGAGGACGAAATCACGCATGCATATATTACACCGACTGTGTCAGAGAGCAGTGTGATTCCAGTTCGTTGGGGTGGAGTCCCCTGTTCCACATGGCCTGGTTGTACTTGCTCTTACCCGTTCGAGGGTCGAACCGAGGGTCCGTACATTGCTCACCCAACTTGGCCAGGCGAGCACCAGGCTAATAGCATGAGCATGCTGTCCACACGACCACGAGTGAGTCGTTTGCACGGTCAATCAAAGATGCACTTGTGAGTGAGGCCCCGCAAGGTCCGGGCACAAGTCTTGGGGGGACAGTTCGCAGTGGCCAGAGGGCGGCTCGACGTGGCCTCCGCTTCTGGAGGCAGGCGCACCGAGCAGCGCGGCCGACGGAGGCCATGCGCTCTTCCGAGGTCTTGGGGGCCGCACGTCGGCCTCCAAGCTGCGCTGCTCGATCAGCCGCATCGTTGCCAACGCGCCTGAAGCGCTCGGTCTCGTCCGTGGCAGGGTCATCAAGAGACTGATGTGCGCGAGCTGTCGCGCACCCCAGCAGCCTCTTCCCACCACGAGCCAGACCCTAAAGCGCCAGACCAGCGTAGGGGGGCGCTCGGGCGAGAGTCGCCACAGGCTGGGCAAGCAGAGCCTGTGCTGGCCACGTTTGCGCAGTCCGAGTAGAGCCAGGCTGGAGCTGGAGCGACTGCTCCCGCCATCGCGCAAGTCGTGAACTCGCCAGCCTGTGGAGTCTGAGGGCAGCTGCCCCAGACTGGGCCCCAGGCCACTGCAAGCAGGTGGCCAGACGGGCCCGAGCACGGCCCAACCCCACCTAGCTCTGCTGGACGCGCGCACGACTCGCCGAATACAAGAGACGAGGAGGGGGGGGAAGCAGGGGGGGGGAGAAGAGTGAGGACGAGGGGGGCCTTGGAATGGGACGACAAACTTTTGTTTGATCCGCGGGTCGAGAGCGAGTCTCTTCTGGTCGAAGCTAAGCGGACCGCGCACAGCTTTAATTAACAGAGGAAGGAAAAAAGCAGGCGGGGCCTCACGTCAAGGCCAAGAGAGGGCAAAGCCCCGGGATCAGGCGGTGCCGAAAGCGACGTGCATGCAAAGGAACGCCTTGGACAGGAACCCGGAGGCGAAGTACCGGGAGGCGAAAAGCTGGTGGTGGTGGCGTCAGCGGCGCATACACCAGCCCCAAAAACTGCGGGAGAGGACGCGCCACGAATGGGAAGACAAACAGGGCGGGACCTAAACTCTTTTTTGCTGGACTTCGGCCGTGTCTTGTTTCTCGTTCTGGCAGGGGGGCACAGGAGAACGGATGGAGCAGAACGGCACGCAGAACGAAAACGTAACCAGAAACAGCGTCCAGGTGCCCGCCCGGCAAACAAATTTCATGGATCGCTAATCCATGAACGCTTGCTCCCGACAGTGGATCGGCGGCGAGCTAGGGGGGGAAGGGAGGAGGATTGACCAACAAAAACAGCGACGCCACCCCACTTACGGCCCTCCATGTTGCGCTACGGCCCATCGGGGGCCGTGGCGTGTACCATGCAAAACCCACGCGAGGTTGATTGGTATACGCTAAGCCCCGTGGGGCCGTAGGTAGGGTGGTGTCTTTTCGCTTCCTGGTCCGAAGGAGGAGGCCTCCTCAAAGTGCGGCCGGGAGGAGGCCGGGCTTCTCGGAAGCCTTCGGGCCTCCTGAGAGAAGTTCTCTCTCTCTCTCTCTAAGCTTTCGGGGAAGGCTTAGGAAGAGGAGGAGGACGAGAAGGATGAGGAGGAGGAGGAGGAGAAGGAGGAGGAAGAAGGAGAAGGAGGAGGAGGAGGAGAAGGAGGAGGACGTGGAGGAGCCGGAGGGCTTCGGAGCCTTCCGAGAGGGCCCGCCCCCTCTCACTTAGGCGCCTCCGCGCCGACCGCCGGGCCGAGCCGTCGGCGGCCCGCCCGCCCGGCCCAGGTCCGGCCAATGCGAACCCCACCCCTAATCCCCACGATTTGCCCGCCCTCGCCCTGTCCCGCTCTCCCGGAGCTGTTCTGCCCCCCCCGGTTCCCTCCCTGCCCTCGTCCTGCCTGCTCCCTGGTTAGGGGGCCAGATGCGAACCCTATCTTCTACCCCCACGATTTCGGAGGGGCAGGGTGGGGTTCACTTCGCTCGGGAGGTCCCGAACGAAGTGAACCCCACCCTCCCCCTCAAAAACCTTGGGGGGTAGGGGTAGGGTTCGCATGTGGCCCCCTGAAAACGCCATAAACATAAACTTCTGGCGCTCCGCGCGGCTTTCACGGATCCGCGCTGGACTCCCCCGGCGGCGCCTCTGGCGCCGCCCCTGGCGCGCTCCGCGCGCCAGGGAGGGGGGTCCAGCCAAAAGTTTATGTTTATGGCGTTTTGCTTGCTCTATCGAAGCTGATCCAGCAGTGGCGACGAGCAGCCTCCAGGATGGCACGAACCACGACAGGAAGTCCTGCCGCTGTTCGAGGGTGGCCGTGCGATGGAGTAATCGGAACCGCCAGGAGACATTTCGGGGTTGGTCTCCGAAATTGTTGCAGGTGCGGTGGCCACGGAGGCTCCGAAGTCCTCGCGGTTTCACGTCTCCGCGCCTCGGAACCAAGTGCCGTCGACGCCGAGCATTGATTTTCGCGCGCGCGTGGAGGATAATGCGCGTGCCCGAGGGAGGGGCAGAAGGAGGAGAAGGAGGAGCAGCAGCAGCAGGAGGAGCAGGAGCAGGAGGAAGAGGAGGAGGAGGAGGAGGAGGAGGAGGAGGAGGAGGAGCAGGAGCAGGAGCAGGAGCAGGAGCAGGAGCAGGAGCAGGAGCAGGAGCAGGAGAAGGAGGAGCAGGCGGAAAAGAGGTATTGTTCCGCGGCCCTCATGCGCGAGGGGCGTCGAAGGAGGAGGAGGAGAGGAGAAGGAGGGAGGGCAGGATCGACCCTTCGCGCTTCCACCGGGTGGACGAGTTCCAGGACAAGGTCACGGAGTGCTTAAACGGAACCCTGACCGCCACCCAGCTCCAGCCGCTGAGGCCAGACCAGCGGAACAAGCGCCCCGCCAAGCTCCTGGAGGTCGGCGAGAGGCTGCCCCGGGAGCGTCCGAAATGCTAGGCGGGGGCTTGCAGGCCTCCGGGCTGCACAGCGGGGATGATGAGGAAGACGTGGAGCAAGAGATGGGAGGAGAGGAAGGAGTCGGAGGAGCAGGAGGATCAGGAGGAGCAGGAGGAGCAGGAAGAGCAGGAGGAGGAGGAGGAGCAGGAGGAGGAGGAGGAGGAGCAGGAGGAGAAGGAGCAGGAGGAGCAGGAGGAGCAGGAGGAGGAGGAGCAGGAGGAGGACGAGCAGGAGGAGCAGGAGGAGGAGGAGGAGGAGGAGGAGGAGAAGGCGGCGGAGGCGCATGGGTCGAGACGGAGCAGGACGAGGGACGAGGAGAGGAGGCATCGGGCATGAGGCCCCGGGCGCCTCCGCCCCCAGGCTCTCTGCTGCGCCTGCGGCCTCCGAGCCCGGCGCCGCCGGCGCGGGCTCCGCCGCGCGCGCCGCCCCGCGCGCGGCTGCCGAGGCAACGCCCGGCGCGCCGGCGGCGGCTGCGCAGCACGGTCGAGGCGCAGTCGGGGGCGGCAAAGAGGGGGTTGACGACTAGGAGGGGGGATATCGAAGACCGATTTCTGACCACATCCACCTCTCGATCCTCGATTCTATGATAGGCCCTCGGGGGTGGAAGTGGGTCATTTTTCCTTCCCCTGGGGCGGGGAAACCGCCCACCTCCACCTCTGGAAACCGCTTTTCGCAAGGCACCTCGGGAAGTGGGTGTGGTCAGAAATCGGTTTCCTAGGATATTATGGCGGGGGGCATGATACTTCCCCGGAGTTCATGGTGCCTCTTCTTATTTCAACACGGTCCCGGCCCCCCCGCTGGGCCGCACACATCATGCCGCCGGCCATGATTTGCACCCCTCCCTCTTGGACACCCCCCTCTTGGCCGCTCCCGATCGAGGCGCAGGGCCCAGGCCGGGGCTGGCCGAGCGCCTGCTCGCGGCCGCGTGGCGTTTCGTCGGCTGGGCTTAGGCTCGGGTCTCGCGAATGTGTCTGCATGGGCCCAGGCCACCCGTCACCCAATATATACCCTTGCCCCCGCACGCCAAAAGGGGAGTTCGGATGCGGCTGGCGTGCCCTGCACGACCTGTCTCAGCCACGCGAAGAGGGGGATGGGGGGAGGGGGGAGGGCTTCTTAGAAGCACCCCTGCTTCTTAGACGGCGCGGGCCTTATCCATAGATGTAAGGCCGGCGCCTTCTAAGAAACAGCCTCCTTCTAAGAAGCCCTCCCTCCTCCCTCCACCCCCTTGTGCCCGCCGCCCATTGGCACCTCCATCTCCCCGCAACTTGTCACCTCCATTTTCCCTGGATCCTTCCCAACTCGGCCTCTGCAGAAGCATGGGGGGAGGTGGTTCGAGCCATGCCCGTATTCGCTCTCGGGGATGGACCGTGGAGCTCGCAGGCGCATGTGATCAGACCTTGTGGGCTTCTGCACCTGCACGTGCAGCCGCACGTATGCTCGCCGAGGAGCTTCCGTGCGCCGAGAGCGGGGTTGTGCCACGGGCTCCAGAGACGGGGCCCTCCACGATGCCTCAGGGTTTCTGCCGATGTATCCCCGATGCGTGCGAATGCCTTCCTTTTTTCTTTTGGATTTCCCTTTATTCCCCACAGCTTCGCTTACTTCTGAAGACAACCATGCGGCTATGCGACGTCGGTGTTCTTCGCAGGATCCCCGCTCAAGTTCGAAGGCCCTCTAGGCTCAAGGAAAGGTGCACGGCCAGGAAGGTGTGATAGACAAAAGGTGGATGGAGAGAAGTGAAGGGCACGAAAGCGAAGGAGGCGGTAAGTACCGGTGGGGCCTGACGAGAAAGAAGCAGATATAAGAAGCGAGGAGGAGGACCAGGAGGAGGAGGAGGAGGAGCAGTGGGAGCAGCTTTCCAGGAGGAGCAGGCTGTGGATTATGGGCGGAGGAGCCGACGGAGACGGGGGCGGCACGACGGACGTCAGTGATGCGGGGGATGCCCGCATGTTCACGACGTGCAGGAGGCTCACCCGTCACAGGCGGGAGGAGCATGGCAGATCGTCTTACCAGTTGCAATCATTCGGCCGATGGATTCGTGTCTCTATTCCCTTCACACCCTCCTCGTCCTCCTGCCGCTCCTCGTCTGGGTCTTTTGAGCAGAGGCGAACAACCACCAAAGGTCTTCAGTGTTGGTCGCCACCCTTTTTCTCGGCGGTGAGTGGGAATAGTCCTAAAGCTTCCTCTTCCTCCTCCTCCTCCTCCTCGTCCGTGAGAGCGCTCCTGAGGACGATTAAGTACTAGTAGTAGTAGTAGTAGTAGTAGTAGTAGTAGTAGTAGTAGTAGTAGTAGTAGTAGTAGTAGTGGTAGTAGTAGTAGTAGTAGTAGTCGTCGTCGTCGTAGTCATAGTCGTAGTCGTAGTCGTAGTCGTAGTCGTAGTAGTAGTAGTATTAGTAGAAGCAGAAGTAGAATTAGAAGAAGCAGAAGTATAAGTATAAGTAGACGTATAAGTAGAAGTATAAGTATAAGCAGGAGTAGAAGTATAAGTAGTAGTAGAAGTAGTCGTAGTAGTAGTAGTAGTAGTAGTAGTAGTAGTAGTAGTAGTTGTAGTAGTAGTCGTCGTAGTAGTTGTTGTTGTAGTAGTAGTAGTTGTAGCAGTCGTCGTAGTACTACCACCACCACCACCACCACCACTACTACTACTACTACTACTACTACACTACTGCTACTACCACTACTACCACTACTACTAGAACCCGTCGTCGGAGTAGTAGTAGTATCAGCAGTAGTAGTAATAGTAGTAGTAGTAGTAGTAGTAGTAGTAGTAGTAGTAGTAGTAGTAGTAGTAACTAGTAGTAGTAGTAGTAGTAGTAGTAGTAGTAACTAGTAGTAGTAGTAGTAGTAGTAGTAGTCGTCGTCGTAGTAGTAGTAGTAGTAGTAGTAGTAGTAGTAGTAGTAGTAGTAGCAGCAGCAGCAGCAGCAGCAGCAGCAGTAGTAGTAGTAGTAGTAGTAGCCGTCGTCGTAGTAGTAGTAGTAGTAGTAGTAGTAGTAGTAGTAGCAGCAGCAGCAGCAGCAGCAGCAGCAGCAGTAGAAGTAGTAGTAGTAGTAGTAGTAGTAGTAGTCGTCGTCGTCGTAGTAGTAGTAGTAGTCGTAGTAGGCGTCGTCGTAGTCGTAGTCATGGTAGTAGTCGTAGTAGTGGTCGTAGTCGTAGTCGTAGTCGCAATCGTAGTTGTAGCTGTCGTCGGCGTTGTTGTGCGAAGGGTGCCCTTGAAAAAAAAGTTACCCCCTATTGGTGAGACCCTTGTTCTGCAAGAAGGCCGCTTGAGCAATCATTCGTTACCCCCTATTGGGGAAGTCTTCTAAAGAACTCAGGATTGCCGTTGCCATTGCCCTTCTCTCGTCGCCACGGCTGGATTCGCTTTGGAATTATGGTCAGAACGACCCCTGGAATCCTTTGGGGATTAGCGGTATCGGTACCCGCCTGCCCCCTTCCCCGTTCTTCCCGCCGTTCTCCTGAGCCTCCTTCCGCTGCTGGCCCACTCTAGCTCATCACAGCTCCCCCAGGCCAGTTGCAGCTTCTCGCAGCTGTTCCATCGTCCTCCCAGCTTCTCCCATATCCTCCCTGCTCGCCCATTCCTCATACCTCACCCTTCGCGATGTTTCCATCTATCCTATTTCTCCTTCCTACAGTCCAGGTACCATCTCCCTCTCCCTCCTCCTCCTTGCCCTCCTGCTCTCTCTCTCCTTTGCTTCTGGCAGCGAGCTCCGTGAGGACTCGGCGAAAGACGCTGCCAAGGGCGCCGCGAAGAGTGCCATGAGTGCAGGCAAGGATGCCGTCAAGGACATAACAAAGTAAATATCGATGTGACTGATATGCATGAGGGCCATTCGCTTGCACGTCTTTCTCACTTCTTATCCATCTTCCCCCATCCCTCCTCTCCCGTTCTTTGTGGATAGGGCTGTTGTTCCTGAAGCTCTGCTGCGCGACTTCGAAATTGTGCTTCTGGCGTAGCGTTTGTAGCGTGGTGTCCGGATGTCGACTGCCGTCGGCCAACGAGTCCGTGACCGTTGCATTGCTGGTCGCCATCGTACTTGGTGGTGTCATGTCTGTTGTATACGAGTCTCCGACCTCTGGTCCCATAGCCGCTGAGAAATAAGACATCCGCAACCAGTTTGTTTGACTTCGCAGTCAGGAACATTGCTGGTGTCGAGTTACCTTGTTTTGGCCCATCTGTTGTCCACTTGCGTTTCCCATGCGCATCCGCGGATACGGAGACACAGGGTGAGGTACGTGAGGTTCGGGGCATTGCTTCATGCTGCCACGACGGTCCTCGTTCTGCTGCATCGTGTCTACTGTTCTACTGTCTCTCGCCCTCAGACGCCCGTCGCCGCAGCACGTTGGAGCAGCACTGCCATCCCCGGTGCAAGTTGGCCTCCACAGCGCCAACTGTCGGGGGCGGAAAAGAGCGGGGTGATGACTAGGAGGGGGTGGATATCATGGCGGGGGCCATGATGTTTCTCCAGATTTCATGGCGCCTCTTCTTATTTCATTACGTCCCTGGCCCCCCCGCTGGGCCGCGCACACGCCGCCAGTGATGATTTGCACCGCCCCCTCTTGGACACCCCCCTCTTGGCCGCTCCTGACAACTGGGGGCCCCGATCGCCGCCTCGAAAGCTCAGGGAGCGCGAGAGAACACGTGCAGCACAGGCCCGCGAGAGGCCCCCGACAGCGCGCCCGCCGGACGCGCAGCGCGGTGCTCCGCGCCGTGGCCTGGCGCTCCCGCGCGGCACAGCGGGCGCACGAGGTGCAGCAGGAGACCGGCCTGCCGGCAGGGGCCCACAGAAGTCAAACGACGCGAAGATCGGGACAACATCGGATCGGGATAACTCGAAATCTCTGAGAATCCGCGGGTTTGGAGGATGTATTGGGCGCCGCGGCCGCTCCAGAGCGTTCCGGAACGCTCTGAGAGCGCTCTGGAACGCTCTGGAGCGATTTATCCCGATCCTAGCCCTGTTTTAACAGAAGCGGACATCGAAAGATTGACGAAGGACGTGCCCCAAGATTCTGCACAGCACGTTTCTTTCTCGTGTGTGTGTGTGTGTGCCTGTTGCAGTCGCGGTCTTGCTGCGTCTCGTCGTGGAAATAGAGGCGCTCTCTGGGGAGCCATGGCGCTCTGTGTGTGCATGGCGGGAGATGTCCATTGCAAGATCATTCGCGTTGCCGTGTCCGAGCAGCTATCGAACCGAGCGTGGCCACGTGCACGAAGGGCGCGACACGGGGCTCGCACACCTTTGGGCCCTGGGAGGAGCACGCAAAGAGAAGGTAAGCAGCACCAGCAAGTGGAGGGGGATCGGTGGAGGAGGGAGAGGAGGAGGATGAGGAGGAGGAGGAGGAGGAGGAGGAGGAGGAGGAGGGGGAGGAGGACGACGACGACCTCCGCCGCGCGAGCAGCGTGCGCGTGCGAGCGCGTAGAACCTCCCCGGCACATTTCGTACCCTAGCCGTCTCTAAGCAGAGCTGCCCTTTCCGCTGGGCCCCGCGCCTTCGGCTTCCCCGGGGCCTCCGCGCAATGGCGTCGGGCTGCGCGCCCGCGATCGAGAGGCACCCGCGGCTTGCAGATGCCGCGCCACTCCGGCTGCCGGGGCCGATTCGCGATGCGCTCGCGCGCGTTCGGCTCACCAGCGCCGGGGCGCTCGCGGAAGTCGGCCTCTGGCGCCCAGGTGGTACCGAGGACCTTGCATTCGACCAGATGGACGGCCAGCACACGGGCGGTCTCGCCGAGGTCCGGGCGGCGCTCGCCGCCAGAGGCGGTGTGCCGACTTGCAAAGGAGCGTGATGTGCCGGCACCGCCGCCATCGCACTCGCCGGCGGCGCAGCCCGCGTGCTCGGCGATTCGCCAGCCGCGTTTGCTCACGCGCCCGCGTCGACGTCTCGCCGTGGCGGCGTGCGAGTCCAGACGCCGTCGGGGACGCGGAGGCAAGGCACAGGCTGAGGTGGCTCGAGCAATTTGTCG